GCGACGATGCTCGTTGGCGACGATACCACTGAGCTCGCCTTCATCAATTGCTCCTACACCATCCAGGTCACTAAGGCGGGGAAGCCGCTCCCGCCGCTCGCAAAGCTGCGTGGGATTGAGAGGAAGGAGCGGAAGCTGGTGGACAACGTGTCTGCGAATGTGCCAGGCGGACGGGTGCTCGCCGTGATGGGGCCGTCGGGCGCGGGCAAGACCACCATGCTCAACATGCTCACCCTGCTCACCGGCAAGGGCAACGCCACGGGATACCTGACGCTCAACGGCCACCCGCTCACTCCGGCGCTCTACGCGCAGCACTGCGCGTACGTGACGCAGCAGGACCTCCTCTGGACCTTCCTCACGTGCCGCGAGCACCTGCGCATGGCCATCGACCTGTACCGCCCCTCGCTCTCCGCCAAGGAGCGCGAGACCGCGATCGACGACCTGCTCGACTCGACCGGTCTGATGAGCTGCCAGCACACCAAGGCGGGCAACATGTTCTTCCGCGGGCTGTCGGGCGGGCAGAAGCGGCGCCTGTCGCTCGCGATCGCGCTGGCGAAGCGGCCGTCCGTCATCTTCCTCGACGAGCCCACCTCGGGCCTCGACTCGGCCGCCTCCGCCAAGATCATGTCCTTCCTCAAGGTGATTGCGCAGCGCACCAAGATCGCCATCGTGTGCACGATCCACCAGCCGTCCGCGTCGGTCTTCGAGGGCTTCGACGACACGCTGATCCTGTCGGGCGGCCACATCGCCTACTTTGGCCCCGCGGCGCAGCTGGCGCAGCACCTGGCCGACGTGGGCAGGCCGATGCAGCCCAACGCCAACCCGGCCGAGTACGCGCTCGACGTCGTCAACGCGGACTTCACGTCGCCGGGGAGCGTCAAGGAGGTGCTCGACGCGTGGCCAAAGTACGCTCCGACGCAGCAGCGCCGCACGCCGCGGCCGCTCGCCCCGCGGCCGCAGCAGGCCACCTTTTGCGGCCAGACGCTCACGCTGCTCAAGCGGCACGCGGTCCTGACAGTGCGCGAGCCGGTGCTGTACGTGGCGCGGATCGTGATGATCTTCGCGACGACGCTCTTCTTCTCAATCGTGTGGATCAAGACGCGCGAGCTGACGCAGGACCAGGCCCTCCCAAAGTTCTTCCTGATGGCCTTCTGCGTCGGGGTGCCCGCCCTCTTCACGATGATTGCCGGCGAGCACCGAGAGATGCACCCGAGATGCACCCGAGATGCACCCGAGATGCACCCGAGATGCACCCGAGATGCACCCGAGATGCACCCGAGATGCACCCGAGATGCACCCGAGACGGCATGCTCGTCCTCTCGCCCGCCACGGGCGAGCCCCCGAGCATGCCGTCTCGGGTGCATCTCGGGTGCATCTCGGGTGCATCTCGGGTGCATCTCGGGTGCATCTCGGGTGCATCTCGGGTGCATCTCGGGTGCATCTCGGGTGCATCTCTCGGTGCTCGCCGGCAATCATCGTGAAGAGGGCGGGCACCCCGACGCAGAAGGCCATCAGGAAGAACTTTGGGAGGGCCTGGTCCTGCGTCAGCTCGCGCGTCTTGATCCACACGATTGAGAAGAAGAGCGTCGTCGCGAAGATCATCACGATCCGCGCC